GACTGTGTTTATTCGTAACTACTTTCATGCGCACACCCTTGCTACTCAAGGGTTACTCTGCGAATTCCTTAACACACGCTTTGGGCACTTGCCATCCAAAAGGTTCATCGCTGGTTTATAACTTGTAGTCAAACACAAAAACGGATTTACACATTGTTTTCATAGTCCACAAGAGGGCAGCAAAAGAGCGTACATATGGGAAGTTTTAGGCACGATTAAGTTAGGTACTGGAATTTCCCTTACCTAACCCACATGTACCCATGCTTGTGTAATTGTACCGTTGCTTTGGAATGTAGAAGAAATTAGTTTAAACCCAGAAGATTTCCTTGTAATCTTTTATTGGAAAGTTATTGGAAAAACAGCAGATCGGGACAATGAACCTCCCCCCTTGTTCCCAAATACTGAACCTTAAAAACTTCCCCAAGTAAACAAGCTTTAACAAAAATGAACGTTAATTAAAAAGAAGAATAACAGAGTTGGAAGGGACCTTGGAGGTCTTCTTAGTCCAACCCGTTGCAGGAAACCCTATACCATTTCAGACAAGCGGTTGTCCAATCTCTTTTCTTTAAAAAAAATTCCAGTGTTGGAATATCCAAAACTTCTGGAGGCCAGTCCAGAAGTTATTATTATTATTATTGGTTATATTGATGCAGATGATTCATGACCCCAAATTAGGTAAGAGAGCCTTGATAGTACAGTGGTTACGCACCCTGTTATTAACACAGCTGCCTGCAATTTACTGCTGGTTCGAATCTCTCCAAGGCTCAAGGTCGACTCAGCCTTCCATCCTTTCTAAGGTAGGTGAAATGAGGACCCAGATTGTGGGGGCAATAAGCTGACTTTGTATAAATATACAAAAGTATGAAGGCTATTGCTTAACGCATTGTAAGCCGCCCTGAGTCTCCAGAGAAGGGCGGCATATAAATCAAAATTTCAAAAAAAAAACAAAAAAAAAACATCATCAGTGATGGTAAGGAGTAGGGTTTGGTGCAGGTTTCTAACTCTGATAATGTTACCTAATTGGGTAATGAAACGGCTGCAAAAAAACAATCAGTTCAGAGAGCACCAAAAACTCCACTGCCCTCCTCCTCCTCCTCCACTCCACAACCCCCACTCCCTTTAAGCACTGATGATGGTACCTAGTTGGGTAATTAAATATCTGCAAAGAAACAACCAAGCT